TGTCTTGATTCTCTGTTTTTTGAGTTTGTTATATATTCTGGATATTAAACCTCTGTCAGGTGTGTCGCTGGTGAAGATTTTCTCCCAATCTGTGGGTTTTCTGTTCACTTCTCTGGTTGCCTCCTTTGGTGTACTTCTTATGACTCCTCTTTCTCTCCCTGTCTTATCCTCCCTCCCTGACCTTCTCATTTAAAGTGTCCCCATTTCTCCCTTGATAGTTTTTGTCTGCTATGGTCCCACCTCTTTTGAGCTCCTTCTTCCCCTTTGTTCCCATAGTTCTTTGTAAAGCAGTTGTTGAATTTAATGCTTGTGATATAGGAGTCTTGTTCAAAGGGTCCTTCCCAGGATATTTTAAGTGTAGTATAATGACTTACTAGTGATGGTAGGTGATAATCAAAGTGATGATAGTTCCCCATTTGGATTTGCTCTGCAGAATATATTAAATTGGGGGGGAGGATGAAGATACATTCCATGGACCAAGGAGTGGAGCATATGTTAATTCTGTCTTCAGATGGAAAACCCTTGGAGTACAACTATAGCATCGGCAACTTAAGGTGGGGAACTTTGTTCTGTCATTAAATATTTTAATCTTTCTTAAGAAGCAACAATTTTGTAGGAAAACGTTATAATACCTGATTCTTTTGGTCTCCTTCTTGATTAAATAGTGTCTTAAGTAAGTGATGAAGTCTGAATTCATGAGTAAAATTTACCAGTATACTACCAAGAGCTACTAGTGTGCATTTTGACATCAAGTGCAATGATTGAGCTTAGTCCTCCCAGGCTCCCCAAATTGGACTTTTACATTCATTAACTTATTTGACCCTATAAATTGGTTCTGGGAATAAACATTTTACAACCTAGGAAAACATGCATTATCATGGAATAATTTATGAGCTTTATTTCTTAGATCATAAAATTAGAATTTCTTTGAACTTGCATTTATTTTTTATCGTAAAATTGTGTAAGAATATTTTAGAATTACCTTATTATAAATAAGGAATATTCATTGTTTTTTTCTTAAATACTAAAACTTTTTAAATAGTTTAAGATGTACTGAATATAAAGCAGTAAATTTAAAGCCTACTTTCCTTGAGCTTCACTCCTAATTAAATACAGTTTTAATATCTTGTTGTGACTTTATTAGAGTGACTGACATGAAATATATTTCATCAGGTATCAAAACACCTTACAAGAAAAAAGTATAATTCAGATTGCCTGTGGTGATTATCACTCTCTTGCACTCTCAAAAGGTACTTTTCTGGAATAATAACTGTGTTTTTTAGAATTAGTAAATGTGTTTATATGGAGAATATGCATATTTTATTTTATAACAGGTCAGAAATATAGATCTGAATTTTGTTTGTTTAAGAATATTGTTCTTAAAGGGGGTATAAAATGAGAGAATTCTTTGAGTTACAAAGTCTTCAGGTTTTGTGGCTGGAGAGATGGAGTTCAATTCCCAGCACCCGCATGGTGGCTAACAACCATCTGACCTCCATGAGCACTGCATGATACGGGTGCATACAGGCAACACACTCATACACATAAATAAAATGTTTTTTTTTTTTAAAAAAAAGTCTTCGGGTTTCTATTGTTAGTTTTCCTACATTTTGTTCCATGCTTTTATTTTTCAAATATGAAACAAATTTTTCTGAGTATCCAAACCATTCTTTTTGTTTGTTTGAAACAATGTCTTATTATATTGCCCAGGCTGGCTTTAAACCCTAAATCTTCCTCCCTCTGCTCCCCAGGTATCTGGGATTAAAAGGTACATGCCACCTCACCTACCTCAAAAGCATTCTTCTTGGTCTATCCTTTTCCAGAACCTTCTTCCTTTTTCCCAATATTTTTCAAACTCCTCTGGTAGTACCTCAGAATCCCCCTAGTTCAGTTTCTGTGGTCAGGTTGCAGACAGAAGTGCTTCCACATCATCTTTGAATTCCAGGGATCTCTCCATGCCTTCAGGGTCACCTATCAGACAGCACGGTGTGAAATGGAAGCTGTGAATATGGGTCATAGCCAAAAGAGACTGAACTTTGAGTGGATTCATAATTAAGATAAGGGGGAATGCCAGTATAAGGGAACTTGAAAAAATATATGGAATGGACGTGTTCATAAACTAAATAGAAACTGAAGGGAAGAAATAACCAAGTATTTGACCTGAACTAAAAGCTCTGTTGAGGTGTGAGAATATGAATTTATGCTGGTAGAAACTTGCTACTTTATCTATTAATGAGTAGATATTTCATATTGAGTATTTATAATGTTCAGGTTATGAAAATGAAACAGACATACATTGTCTTGGAGATTTAAATCTAGGGTCCAGTGGTAGATGAGTATAGAAGGAGGGGGTGTTGTGCTTGTTTGTTAGGTGTGGTGGCACTTGACTATGTACAAATATATTTAATTGTTTAATCATAATGCATAAAATAAGAGTTGGAGAAGCAAGAAAGGAAAATGGCCATGCTCGTTATTATATATTAATGGTTGCTGTTTAAAGAAGAGGCCATGCTCCCTGTCAAATCCTGCACAGCATCTCCCAATTGGTGCCCAGTAAGCATTGATTTTCCAAAAAGTTTTTCAGATTTCACTGGAAGTTGGCAAGTCCATTAAATAATATCTAAAAATTATTTCTGAAAAATGTGTTCCAGCTGGGCATAGTGGTGCATACCTGTAGTTCCAGCACTCGGGAAGCAGGAAAATCAGTAGTTCAAGGCCAGCCTTGGCTACATAAAACATTTTAAAAAACAAAAGAAATATGTCCTCCATATATTTAGTTAATAAATGATATATCTTTGAAGATGCTATGCTTTATTTTCAAGTGAATTTTGTGTGCATGTTTGTCTCAGAATGTTGCTCAGGCTGATGTCAAATTTCTGGGCTCAAGAAAAAAAATTTCACTTCAACTTTCTCAGTAATTGAACTAAAAGGTCCAGCTACCATACCTGGCTGAAAGCAAATTTGTAAGTAGATCTTTAGATTTATGAAACGAAGGAAATATAGAAAATACTGCTTCTGACTAGCTTTCTCATAGGCAGACTTATAGCTTATAGCTTTTGTAAGTAAGAATTTCTTGAATTCAATTCAAATATGTTCAAATATCTTATTGAGAGATGGAGATTCAGCAACTTGACTCACTGCTCAGAAAGTTTCTGTGTTTTTCTGAGTCGTGTGGGGCCCAGGAGACCCGTGACTGTGAACGTAGGAGATAGTGGTATATCACACTGTCATGTAGGTAAGGCTCCAAGCTGTAGCATGTCCAACATTTTGATATTGCAATGGGACTTTGTCGTCCACAGAATTCAAGCTGGAAAACCATGCAATTGATTCTCACACCATATAAAATCACAAAATATAACTCATACTGCTTTAAGTAAATTTGTGATTTTTTTTTTTTTTTTGAGACTGGGTTTCCCTGTATCCCCAGCTGGCCTGGAAGTCACCATGTACACCAGGCTGGCCTCAATTTCACAGAGATCCTCCTGCTTCTGCCTCCCTAGTGCTGGGATTAAAGGCATGTGCCACCTACCACCATGCCCAGCTATGTTTGTGATTTTTGTGTTGGTCTCATTCATAACTGTCCTTAGCCATGTATCCCAAGGACTGCAGGTTGGACATGCCTGCTAGGGTTATGTTGCTGCATTTGAAATTTAATAAAACAAGATTTTCTTTATGTGAAGATGGTGAACTTTTTGCCTGGGGGCAGAACTTACATGGCCAGATTGGAGTTGGAAGGAGATTTCCCTCAACCTCCACGCCCCAGATGGTGGAGCACCTCATGGGCGTGCCCTTGGTTCAGATTTCTGCAGGAGAAGCCCACAGCATGGCCTTATCCATGTCTGGGAACATTTACTCATGGGGAAAAAATGATTGTGGACAACTCGGCCTGGGCCACACTGAAGGTATGGAATGTATCTCCAAATTTACACTATCAACAAATATGTTAGAGAAAAATGAGCCCGGCTGCAGGTGGTGCAGAGCCTTACTTTCTCCTCGTTCACCTCTGTGTTTGGGGGACAGAATCAGTCCAACAGATATTTCCAGTGTGGAAGCTGTTAGTATTGAGACGTATTTATATTTATACACACACACAAATATGTACAAACACATACATGCCATGTAATTCACATGGTTGAATACTATAAAGCATATAGCAAAATATGCCTGTCTCAAAATACTGGTTAAATTTCTCATGTTAAAAGACTCTATTGCTTTACTTGGATATAGTAACATATACCTTGCCCTGGATCACACTGTCTCCTGATAAGGGTCATTGCTAATTATATAGAATTACCCATAAGTCAATATTAGAAAAATATTCAAAAGGGGCTTAAGAGTAAGGAGTGGTTGCATTCTTTTTGTTGAATATCTGTTATTTGACAGTTACCTAGTCATGAAGAAAAGATAGTAGAAAGTGAAGACAGAATTTTAAAAGAAAAAGAAGAACATGCTTCTTTGAAATAATTCTAGGTCCCAAGTACTAGGAAAAGGTTCTGGGCTAGAATTGGAATATCACTTAAAGTTAATCAAGTCAGATTGAAGGTAAGGAATGGGGCTCTGGGAAGTAGCATGACCCTTTCATAGTTTGGGAGCCTGAAGCACGACCCTTTCAGCCACCCCATCCTTAGACCTAGAACCCAAGCCTTTACATACCAACATAGAGCTGTTATCGTCAAAAGGGGTTGGGTGCTGTTGTTGCTAGGGTAAGAAGCAGTATAGGTAACTGCGGTGTGAAACTTGACCTTTCCTTTTGGTCACTTCAGCTATTCTTTCCTTGCACAGAAAAAGACTCTCCTTCCCTCACTGAAGCACTAGACAACCAGAAAATTGAATTTCTCACTTGTGGTGCCTCGCACACTGCCCTGCTTACACAGGTAGGTTTACATTGTTTCTTTTGATGGTTTCTGGAAGCACTTCGTGTGGGGAATTTGTGTTTCTGCACATGTAGGACTGTCCTGGTGATTTGGGAAATTTACTTTCACAGCACTTTTTGTTTACTGGTGTAGAGGCATATTCATGGATGTGGCTTCTGTATTGTATTTCTGTAGCATCTGACCTGAAGTTCCTTTCCTTAGGATGGGTTAATATTTACTTTTGGTGCTGGAAAATATGGACAGCTTGGTCACAATTCAAAGCAGAATGAGCTAAAACCTTGTTTGGTAACTGGACTTGTTGGAAACAAAGTGACTCAAATAGCATGTGGAAGGTAAGTTGTAAAATGTCAAAGAAAAAATGGTAAATATTGATAAACAGGTAATTTAGCAATTTCCTTCAGATAGACTATTTTCAAATGCATGAGGATACTTAAGTTACATTATTAGGTAACAGTAATAAATCTTTTAGTATATGAATTTGTGTGTTTGTGTGTGTGTGTGTGTGTGTGTGTGTGTGTGTGTGTGTGTTTTGCTGGTGACTGAACCCAGAGCCTCACATAAGCTAAGTCTGTGCAATACTACTTATACACTTTCATCCTTGATAAAAAATAAGGTATTATTTATTTGGGAAGAATATACAAACATAAATCACAAAAGATCACTGATGTAATCACCTTTCCACCTTCAACCTTTGACATACTTTTTAGTGACCTGACTCTTAACATTGTGGTTTTTAATAAGTGGTGAATTAAAACCAGTCAGCTAGGCTTGGTGGTGCACACCTTTAATCCCAGCAATCGGAAAGCAGAGGCAGTTTTGGATTTCTATGAGTTTGAGGCCAGCCTAGTCTACATACTGAGTTCCTGGCTAGCCAGGCTACATAGTGAGACCCTGTCTCAAAAACAGACAAAAAACAAAAAAACAGGGTTTCACAATGTAGCTCTGGCTAGCCTGGAATATGTTATATAGATCGGGCTGGCCTCCATCTTGGAGTAATCCTCCTACTTCTGCCTCCCAAGTGCAGGCTTGAGTCACCATACCTACCCAGATTTTTATTGGGAGTTCATTGATTAGGCATGATTGATTGAATCCTCTCTCCTGCAGGTCTGGTTTACTTGCATGACAGAGGAGCTTTCCATTTATTAGCTACAATGTGTGGTCCCAGAGCCCACCATGAGTACTAAAGACACTACTTTTCACTTGGAAACATTAAGAGTTTAGAGGTTACCTCCCATGAACTGGAAACAAGGCCAGATTGATGTTTGAGCAGAGCCAGATTCCTGATTACATATCATTGATGAGAGAGACTAGTGGGCAAATCAGTAAGAAAGATCATTATGAAGGCCTTTGGGAAATAGAATTGGAGTTCAAAGAAAGTCATCGGATGCATTCTTCTAGCATGGGGAGAGAGAAGGGATTCAGAGATGGCTTTCAGGAGGTGGTGATTCTCAAGCACATGAGGGCAGGGGGAGTACTTGTTCCCAACAAAGGGAATACAGTTTGCCAGAGTGTGACATAATGGTTGTGAATAGACACAGGGTTCTCAGTTTTCTCAGCCACACTTTGATTTCTTGGTTTCTAGATGGTTTTCTTCTTTCCTTCCCTCCCTCCTTCCTTCCTTCCTTCCTTCCTTCCTTCCTTCTCTCCCTCCTTCCTTCCTTTCCTCCTTTCTCTTTCTTTCTTTCTTTCTTTTTGGTATTTTTGAGACAGTGTCTCCCCATAGCCCCAGCTGACCTGGAACTCGTTATGTAGACCAGGCTGGCCTTGAACTCATAGAGATCCGCCTGCCTCTGCCTCCCAAGTGCTGGGACTAAAGGCGTGTGCCACCACGCCCAGCTTGCTTTCTTTTTTCTGAAACAGGGTCTCACTTTGTAACCCTGGTTGGTCTCAAACTTGGTTTGTAGACTAGGCTAGCCTCAAACTCACAAAGATCTACCTGCCTCTGCCTCTCCAGGGCTGGGATTTAAGGACCGTGCCACCATGCTGGGCTCTAGATGACTTTTATCCTTTGAGAGTTAGTGTTACACAGTGGCTAACTGATTTTGCCAATTTAATGTATCTCTAAATACTCTCACTATGGGGATAGTTAAGCATTGACAGTGTGTGCTTTTATTTAATAGGTGGCACACACTTGCCTATGTGTCTGATCTTGGAAAGGTCTTTTCCTTCGGTTTTGGAAAACAAGGACAATTAGGAAATGGTGCAAAACATAACCAACTGATACCATGTCCCATGAAATTGTCATCAAATGAAGAACTCACACTTGGTAAATTCTACAGGAGTGCAGTGTTTGTCATAATACCTTGTTCAGAAATTGATTCTTCTGTGTGATGTGACAGGAAAGCAGTGTAGACATGGAAGAGACTTTTCTGAATATTGGTCTCCTGTTTTTACTTGTAAATAATTTGAAAGATTCAACTTAATTTATTAAGTCATAACAATCATTATTTTTCTCTTATTCCTTCAGATTAAGATTAATATAAATGGGTGATCATAAAATAAAGCCTATGTGGATTCGGAAGCACATACAGCTCTCGTTTCAGTTTTTAAGAGACTCACTAATTCCAGGATGATTACTTTTTCTCCCTTGTTTGATTGGCCCATAATCCTATGAAACCTCAGAATGCTGGGAAGCTGGTATACAGAACTCAGACTTTGCAACTGTGCTGGGCATTTATTTACCTGTGCTCTCTGTTTTATCAAGTTTTTCATGGATTCTGGAAGGTGACGGTCACCTGGAGAGCAGGGGGCTAGACTCTTGCTCAAAGCTGGATCTGGACTGTGCCCTGCATGGTCCAGAGCCTGTGCTTTGAAGCTCTTTTGGAACACTTGCTTCTTGTTTCTGAAAGCTTAGATTTAGAGTTCTCTCATTTCTTCCAGGGAAGTGAACTGCAGAATTGGTTCCTTAAGCAACTCATTTATTGACTTTGATTTCTTGTAATGTTACATGATTTGAATTTAGTCATGTTCTTCACAACCATCAGTCAATGGTTAAATATTGAATTTTGAAGAATCAGACCTGATTTAAAGTAGGCAATACTTAATGAAAATTTTGTTATGTTATAGATAGAAGCATTTATATTAAACTGGTGTTGTATGCTAACTTTATAAATCATCTGTACCTAGACTTTATATTTCTATCTTTTAATGTATATTTTTATTGAATGTTGTACATTTCAAACATCTTTTAAAAAATATTTTATTTATTTTTTTTTATTTTATGTGTATGCGTGTATCGCCTGCATGTAGATAAGTGCACCCGTGTCATGCAATGCCCACAGAGGACAGAAGAGACCATCGGATCCCCTGGAACTGGAGTTTCGGACAGTTGTTAGCTGCCATGTGGGTGCTGGGATTCGAACCTGGGTCTTCTGCAAGGACAGCCAGTGTTCTTAACCGCTAAGCCATCTTTCCAGCCCCAACATTTCATACATCTTAATCATATTTATACCCCCTATTGCTCACCCACTGGATTTCATGCATTCTGTCATATGTGTTAAGGCTTATATCTCTATCTTTTAAACTGATAGGAAATTAACTGGATCTTTATCTATTACAAGGATAAAATAACTGCATTTTTGAAGAATGTGAAATTATTTAAATTAAGTCTGCAGGTTGTGCCACATTCCTTTGTATATTCTTATGTTGTCTACATCCCTTTCAGAAAGTCATAGCTCTGACAAGGAGCTGATACTGATTGCTGGAGAGAATCAAAGCATTTTGCTCTGGATACAAAAAGAGGTAAACTTTGACCTGTAGCTCTTCTAAAACTTGGTATCTTCTTTATCTAGAAGCTAAGTTTGGTGAACTTAAAAATCATCACATTATTATGATAATAGCTTAAAAAAGAAAAATAGCTTCTTTTTTATTTTTTATATTTTATTTTTTTATTTGCAGGCTTTATGGTTTTATTTAAGCACAGATAACAGGAGCATGTGAGCCATCTATTCGTTTTTCCACTGGGCAGCCTAGCATTGGGGTTGGTGATTCTGATGGCCGGCTGTGCTGCTCTTTCAACAGTGGCTTTGTGGTTCTTGAAGGATACATTGTGCACTATCTCAGCACAGTAAGATTTGTTGCACATCAGGAGCACATCCAGCTCCTTGACATTGTGGACTAGGAATTTCTGGAAGCCACTGGGCAGCATGTGCTTTGTTTTTTGTTGCTCCCATACCCAATGTTGGATATCAGGATCTGACCATTGAATCTTCTCCACACCCTGTTGTCAATGCCTTTGGGTTTCTGCCAATTTCGCTTAATTTTGACATATCAGTCAGACTGGGGCAGGATGAACTTCTTGGTCCTCTTTTTGATGATCTTGGGCTTTACCAGAGGTCTGAGGGCAGCTATGATGCTGCGCAGGAGATGGCAGCCACCTCGCAGGCAGCACTGAGGAAGAAGAATATAGCTTCTTTTTTTAAAAAAAAAAATCATTATTAGTTTGTGCATATTGATGCTGTGTGGGTGTGCTCACACCACGTTTTGAAGTCAGGAACAACTTCGTGGAGTTATTTCTCCTCTCCCACTTTTACATGGGTTCTGGGAATTGAACTCAAGTCACCAGACTTGCACTGCAAATATCTTACTCACCAAACTGTCTAGCAGCCCTGTTAGCGATTCTTTATTGCCTCTGCTTTATTCATTTTTGTCTCCCCCTCTCCACAGAAATCAGCAGTCTGTGGCAAATAGTGAATCAGTCTGATTTCCCCAGATACTACATACCTTCTGGGGAACTCCTTACCGATAGCACTGGTCCTCCTCCTAGTGAGAGTACAAGCTAACAGATTCGAAAATGATGTGGCTAGTGAGTACACTCCCAACAAGCCTCAACATTCATAGGCTTACAGCTCATCAGTCCAGAACTTCCTTGCCCAGCCTCACTAAGGGAAAATCGAGCTCTTCTCACCTAACTACACAGCTGTTTAGGACCTTCCCTTCAAAATGTTGATGTTCACTCTAATCTGATTGTACTTGTATAAAGTGCTGAGTTTTGGGGCATTCAGAGAAATTAAGTCCAAGCCCTCTTGGACAAGAAACTGGAATGAAATGATGAAATCATGCCTTGGCGGTGTCTCACTTTTTCCCAGAGTTGAGTTATCTGTATTGGAAAACCAGCCAGATGGATAGATATGTTCCTGGCATCCCAGCACTTCGACTTGTGGGAAAATAGCTTGACCTCAAGAGACTGAAATCACCCTCAGCAACAGGGAGAATGTGTCTCAACAACAATGACAACAAAATTATTATTGCCCAAGTATGAGTACCTATTTCTGATGTGTCAAGTTATTGTATCTGACTTTATTGTTTACAGAATTCTTACGTTAATCAGAGGAGGAAAATTGTTACATTGAATGAAGGGACTGTAAAAAGATGGATTGCTGATGTGGGAACTAAACAGTGGCAGAAAACAAAAAGGTACATATTCCCCCATGTGTCTGACCATGCTTACATCTGTCTAAAATAAAATGTCCCAAGCCGGTTCTGCAAAATAGAGAGAAAGGAGATTCTATGGTCCCTAGTGAAATTAGCCCATGTTTTCCAGGGGGCACTGAACCAGTAGGATATCCTATAAAAAAGAAAAAGGTTAGTTGGACGTGGTGGCGCACGCCTTTAATCCCAGCACTCGGGAGGCAGAGGCAGGTGGATGTCTGTGAGTTCAAGCCCAGCCTGGTCTACATAGTGAGTTCCAGGACAGTTGGGGCTATAGGGAGACCCTGTCTCAAAAAGACCAAAAAAAAAGGTTATTTTAAGGAACTGGTTTAGGTAATTGTAGAGCTAGTATTATGAATTATGCACAGCAGGCCAGCAGGCTGGAGATCCAAGAAGAACTGATGTGACTGTTGTGACAGTTTCAATGTGATGGTCTCATTTTGGGGTAGCATAGTCTTTTAAAGTCCCCAACTGATTGGATGAGGCCCAACTGCATTATGGAGGGTAATGTGGTTTATTTAGGATCTATTGATTCAAGTGTTAATCTATTTTTTAAAAATAATTTTTCTTTTTTTCTTGAGAACTTCACACATATATACAATGAAATATGACCATATCCACCCCCATTTTCATGCTCCAGTTTCCTCTACATCCATTCTAACATGTCTCCACCAAAATTAAGTGTCTTCCTTCCTTTCTTTTATAACCCACTGAGTCCAATTACTGCTGCCCATGTGTGCACAGGTGTGGGGCCATCTGCTGGAGCACGGGAAACCTTAAATGTTAATCTCATCTCAAAAATACTTTCACAGAAGCAGGCGGAATAATTGGAAAATATCTGGATACAATGGCTTAGCCAAGTTAACATGAAAGTAATCATCATAATGTATGCTCCACGAGGAGAGCTTTCTTTACTATAGAACTTTCCTAGACCTTAAATATGTTTATATAAATATATTGTGAATTTTTACAGGAAATACATTCGATATTTCTAACCAGTTCTATATTTGACCCTGGAATCACAGATTTGTGCACATGCACAAAGCAGTTGGGGCATCAGTACCTTGAGCAGCAGAACTAGCATCTCTAAGATTGCTCATTCTTATAAACATCTTCTCAGTGATATTTTTTGATATCTCTTCCTAATTCTGGAAAATGTATATAAAATACTTACATCATAATTAGAGGACACAAATGATCAAGAAGTGTTTCTGGGGCCTGGAGAGCTGGCTCAGTGGTTAAGAGCACTGTCTACTTTTGCAGAGGACCTGGGTTTGGTTCCCAGCACCCACATGGCAGCTAACAACTGTCCAACTCACATGGCAGATAACAACTGCCCATGACTCCAGGGGATCTGACACCTCTTCTGGTCATTGCACAACATGGGTGCACTTGTATACATGCAGGCAAAATGCTCATACACATAAAAAATAAAATAATAATAAATAAATCAAAAAAAATTTAAAGTCTGTAGTCAATTCTCAGATGAAACTCAACATCCTCTTCTCCATCTAATTCCTGATAATTAAGTCTGGAGCTCAGTGATAAAGCATTTATGTAGCATGCATGAGCCCCTGGGTTCTGTTCTGAGTTTTGTTCTCACGCATGTACGCACACACGCACGAACATGTGTATGCACACACGCACGCACACACACACACACAGAACTTCTGGTAACTGTGTTCACATGTCACTCTAACAGAAATAGATCTTGTGAAGTTGGATGGATTAGGAATGTTTTCAAAGGAAGTTCTGACTCTGAGTTTGGGTTTTTGGTCTTTCTCTGGAGCTTTTCTGAGCTTAAATCTTTCTATTCCCCATGTTTGTTACTTTTTTAAAAACTTTTTTAAAATTACTTTTGCATTTTAAAATTTACCAAGTCAGGCCGGGCGTGGTGGCACAAGCCTTTAATCCCAGCACCTGGGAGGCAGAGGCAGGTGGCTCTCCTTGAGTTCAAAGCCAGCCTAGTCTACATAGTAAGTTCTAGGACAGCTCAGGCTACAGAGAGACCCTGTCTCAAAAAGACACCCCCCAAAAATTACCAAGTCAAGCAGACTTTTAAAGATGCCTAGATAATATGCCAACAAATAGAAGACAGAAGGAGAAGTGCAAAGGCAATTTTGACATGCTTTGTTTATATCTCATTCTATAAGGAGGTATACTTTCTGATTTGGTTTAACCACTGTCTTATTCCTTATGTAGGGAAATTCAAGAAATATTTTCATCTCCAGCTTGCCTGACTGGAAGTTTCTTAAGAGAAAGGTAACACATACAATAAATGAAAATTGTATTAAGATTGCCATGAAAATATACATAAAAAAGGCAACATGACAAAAAGCTAGTTATATGGTTCTCTTTCTAAAATTAATTTTTGTCAAGAAAAACTAATATCTGTTTTCTATATAAACTATCAGATACACTAAGGACTAGATATGTGGCTGCGTGGTAAACCATTTGCTTAGTGTCTACAAAGACCTTGCCACAAGAAAAGAAATTTGCATAATAAAAATTTGAAAAGAAAATTGTACTTGGGAAGCAGAGACAGGAAGGTTGTGAGTTCTAGGTCTATAAATCTATTATAAAAAAAAAAAAAGCAAAAGAATCATACCAATGGGGCAGTGTTATGCATGTATAATCCCTGCCTACTCAGGAGTCTGAGGCAGGAAGATCCCAAGTTCAAAGCCAGCCTGGTTTAAATCCAGTATAAACGGGGAAAACATACGCATATACACACATGTGTATGTTTGCATGTCTGTCTCTTTGTTGTTTTGGTTTTTTGTTAGACGATGTCTTGCAATGTAGCCCTGGGCATTACTGGCCTGGAACTTGCTAAATAAATCAGGCTGGCCTTGAATTGGTGGTGATCCTCCTGCACCTATTTTCTGAGTGCTAGGACTGCAGGTATTGCCACCACACCAAGTTTATGTCTCCCTTTTCTATACAAAAGTATTATGCAAAAAATGGGTAGAGCTGGAGGTGTAACTCAGTAGCAGAGCATGTAGTTAGTGTGCAAAAGACCCTTGTATTGATCACAAGCACACACACAAGGGTGTCCTATTCTGTATGTTGCTTTATACTTAATATTTTTGTCTATTTTCTATTTTATTCAGTTCTACAATTGAAGTTTCTGTAAATTTTTTAGATAAAGTCTCACTGTGTAGCCCAGGTTAGTCTCAAACTCAGTACTCCTGTTTCAGCCTCCCGAGTGCTGGAATCACAAGCCTGTGACACTGCCCATCTCTAACATCATCTTAATAGCCATGTGATATTCTATGCAAAAGTTATATATTAATTTATTTGAACATTTCATTATCCTACATTTTCAGTCATGTTTATATTCTGTGAAATTGTTATTTTTCTGTTATTTTTTGAGACAGGGTCTTGCTGTATAGCCCAGACTGTCCAGGAACTCACCATGTAACCCAGGCTGACATCAAACTCAAGATTCAGTTGCCTTGGCTGCCCATGTGCTGAAATTACAGACATGGGATGCCACGCTTGGTTTCTATATTTAGCCAAATTATTATAGTTATTATAGATTGTAATAAAAGTAACTGTAATGAAATGAAGGAAACTCTAGAAGAAATTTTACATGTGGATAATCTGAGAACATACTTAATTTTGGAGTGTCCTTTCTCATGTATCTGTTTATCTTTTCTTACAGACGGGTTGCAGAAACCATGCCTGTTCTTTCAGACTTAAACAAAGCCAGAAACATCTTTAAGGAACTAACTAAAAAGAACTCCATTACTAACATGGTAGTATTCTTCAGAATTTTTTGTAAAAAGAAAATGAACTTGAACTTTTATTATAAGAACACAGGAGTCAGGAGCCAATGAGATGGCCCAGTGGGTAAAGATATTTGCTGCTCAATCCTGACAACTTGAATTTGATCCCCAGAACTCATAGAAAAAAAAAAGAAAACCTACTCCTGAATGTTGTCATCTGACCTCCACACGTGTGCTGAATGTGTTGCAGCACACACACAAATAATTTTTTTTAATTGGTTTTTAAAGGCGAACCAAGCCATACATGGTGGCCCTTTAATCCCAACACTCGGGAGGCAGAGGCAGATGGTCTCTGTGAGTTTGAGGCCAGCCTGGTCTACATAGCCAGCTCCAGGCTAGCCAGGGCTACATAGTAAGACCCTGTCTTAAAAAATAAATGAGTGAATTAATTAACTTATAAAGGAGCCCAAAATTTTAGAAGAAATATGTTCTTTTAGGAGATTCTCTGAGACTGTAGCTTATCCAAATTAAATTAAAGCGAGACTGGGCTGGAAAGCTGGCACAGCCGTTAAAGGCGCAGGCTCACAGCTGAGCCTAAAAGTGAGATAGCTGTGAACAGTTCACCCATTTTCATGACATAATTGATGGAATATTATGTGGGTTGCAGGTAGTCTATGGCATTGTGTGTGTACACACACACACACACACACACACACACACATACACACACATTCTAGAAAGAATCTTTCCAACTCAGGGCTTGCTTTTAAAAAAAAAATCTCTCTTCCTTTGTATTGTTTGATCAGCTTTTTAGGTTCTCTCATCTCCCTCCTCTGCTTCCTTTTTTCCCCTCTCTCCTCTTCTGCTTACCCCTGGCCTCTCTGTGAATCTATCTTTTCATCTCTCCTTATATCTTTTTAAAAAATATTTTTTTACTCCAGGCGTGGTGGTGCATGCCTTTAATCCCAGCACTTGGGAGGCAGAGGCAGGCAGATCTTTGTAAGTTCAAGGCCAGCCTGGTCTACATAGTTCCAGGACAGCTGGAGCTACAAGGAGACCCTGTCTCAAAAAGACATTTTTTTTTTAGTTTTTTTATTTGTTGGAGGGGATTGTACATGCCATAGTCCACATGTAGAGGTCAGAGAACAACTTACAGGAGTCAACTCTCTCCTTCCACCATGTGAGTCCCTGGGATCAACTCAAGTCAGCAGGCTTGGCAGCAAGCACCTTAGCCCACTAAGCCATTTGTCTGGCTCTCTCTCTCTACAAGCTTTATCTCTTATGCATTTCTCTCAAAGGGGTATGGAAATTAGGGTAAACTTTGGGAGAGAAACATGGTACAGTTATGGGGCCTAAGGTGAAAGCGGTCCCTAATTATGCACCTTTATCAGGACTTGAATACTTACCAGCACCTCTAACATTAGTCCAAGAACTATCCCACAATCTATTTTTTAAAATTTCCCACATATCCTTTTTATAAAGAATCATTCTATCACAATTTCCTACGTGTATATAGTTTACTTTGATCATATACTCCCCAATTCTCTTCCCTATCTTCTTCCCACACCTATTAAGCTCCTTCTCCCTAGTCCTCTTCCTTTCATGTTTGTTTTTGTAACCCTCTGGGTTTAATTAAGAGTGCTTGCATGAGGGGCTGGAGAGATGGCTCGGTGGTTAAGAGCACTGACTGCTCTTGCAGAGGACCCAGGTTCAATTCCCAGCACCCACATGGCAGCTACGAACTGTCCTTAACTCTGGTTCCAGAGGACTCCGAAGTCCTCTTCTGACCTCCACGGCATCCCATGACATGGGTGCACTCACATACATGCAGGCAATACACTCATACACATAAAATAAAAATAATAAATAAAATATTTTTTAAAAGATTGCTTGCATGAAAATGTTTTTTTATTTGCATAAGGGCACCTTTCCAATGACTACAGCACTGAAGATAATGGCTTCCACCTCCTCCAGCAACCACTGACTGCTATAGCTCCTCAGGGAGGGGTGGAACTGCACCAGCCCTCCCCTATCCGTGTTGGAATATTGATAGGTAGGCAACCGCAGCTGCTGTTGAGGGTGCAGTGGCCATGTCCTGTACAGAAGACAGCATTCACAACATTCCTCTTCACCCTGCTCTTACATCCTTTGTGCCCCCTCTTCTGCTGTGTTCTCTGAGCCTTGGAGGGGTGATAATAGTTGTTCCATTTAGGCTGAGCACTCAACTGCCTTTTGTTCTTACCATTTTGACCCAATATGGGCTTCTATCTTCACTGCTGCCCACTGCAAACAGAAGCATCTCTGACCAATGATGAGCACATCACTAATCTATGGGTAAAAAATGATTTAGATGGCAGTTTGACAATGTATCCATTTAGGAAAACATCAGGAGTAGGTTCCTTCCTAGGGCCCTTAACCTCCGCAGTCATGGGCTTTTGACCAGTTTACAGTGCCAGGCATGATTCTTTTCTCATGGAAAGGGCCTCAAATTCAATCGGAAAGTGGTTGCTTACCCCCATAACAGTCATGCCACTGTTGCACCAGTGGGCATAGCTTGGCCAATCAGTGTTATAGGATGCAAGATTAGCTGGGTGAGACCATTGATGGTTTTTCTCCCCTAGCAGTCTGCATATCAACCCTTAGCACTATGAATTCTGGTCAGCAGTGAGGAAGTTTCCAGGTCAGTTCCAGCTTAATTCTTTATGTCCTACAACTAAAGTGTGTGGCATCTTCAAAAACAGGGTCTTACTATCTACTTCTGGTAGGCAAACAAGAGCAATGGCAACAGCTGTATTGTTTTAGAGACCTCTTGGGGAATAATAATAAGGAATGTGTCCCACACCTGGCACTGGGATTTTCACTTAATAACCTATGTCTCCTGGAAACAGGATTATCCACCCATTCAAGGTATTTTGGTTCAATTCTCTTTTTCAAATTATACACACATTTAAATAGTTATATCTATGTATTTACATACATAGTTTTGTGTGCACATGTATGAGTATGCATGTATGTGTTGGTGTGTATACCCATGTGTATATGTGGATGCTCAAAGGGGACTTCAAGTACATGCTGCCTTATTCCTTTGAGACAGCCTTTCTTACTGAGCCTGGAACATTCTTGACTAGGCTTACAACCAGCAATCCACAAAGATCCTGTCTTTAATCCCTGGGTCACAGGTATGTGGGACCATGCCTGGATTTTTGCATGGGTGTTGAGGATCTGAACTCAGGTCTTCATATTTTCCCAAGAAATACTCATCTCCTGTACCATCTCTCCAGCCTTCAAATTAAATTTTTTCTCTCTTTTTTAACAATTTTATTTTGTGTGTGTGTATGATGATGCATATGTGCCATGGCACATGTGTGGCAATCAGAGGACAACTTACAGGAGTCTCCCTTTCTACCATGTGGGTCTCAGGGATTGAACTTAGGTCATCAGGCTTGGTAACAAGCATCTTTACCCAATGAGCCATCTCACCAGCCCCAAGTTAAAAATTTTAATTATCTTACAAAGTAGTAAGTTCCCATAGAGCTGTTTCATGTCTTTAATTTTGGCTAGCCGTCCTCACCACCTTCTCCTCTCCCACATCTCCTGCATCAACCCCACTTCAACCTTTTCACCCTGTTTCCCTCCCTCCACTTTCACATACACCCTCAAACTGTTTCATCCATGTTTGTTCCTCTGTTGGCTCACTTTGATCAGTCAAAATTCTTTCGTCAGGGTCACTGCAGCATTCCTTCAGTAGGATTCTGAATATAGCTGGGGAAAGGTCATCAAAAATGCTGGCCATTTCCTCATCTTTGAATGTGGAAGGGCTGTCCAGGGCTCAGTCTCACCACTGAGGGCCCCTGCTTTCTAATTACATTTTAGTTGTGCCAAAAAAGAAAATAGCATATAATGTGCAAATGACATACTAAAAGGGCATTCTTGATCCCCAGTGTTTCAGAGAAGGTGGATTAGCAGACTGGTCATATTTCTGTATTGAGATTCTGTGTAGTAGACTCACAAATTTTTGTCATTTCATTTATTCAGCAAATGTAGACTACCTGCTATGTGTTAGGCACTTTAGGCACTGTCATGATGACGCTTAGTGAAAAGTGAAAGAGACATGCCCTTTGCCCTGTAAAGAAAGCTCATGGTTTAGTGAAGGATGCAGACACAAACATGCAGGTGTTAGTGCAGAAACTGTGTATTTCATGCCCCACCATTTCCCTAATATCTACCTTAGAATGTAGTTAGTATACAATAAATATCTTCGATGAATTTAGTTATTACTAGGGCAGCAAATGAAAACAAGCTGGGAGGGAAGCGAGCTTACCATCTGCCACTATGGGAAAGGATTTTCATGTAAGCAAAAGGATATACCTGAGAAACAACAGCATGTAAAGCACTAAAACTGGCTTGAAAGTGTCTGGGTATGACTTTAGTTATAAAAGTTGGAGTAGATTGGGAGGTTTGAGGTTATTGTTGATAAGCAAAGAGGTGGGTAGAGTGCATGCCATTGAGGCCTTAAAATAGAGTTGTTAGGCATTCATAATTCCAAGGACTGACTCTCACAATGGGAGCACAGTATAAAGTTTCGTTTTAAAAACAGATAATTGTGGGGCTGGAGAGATGGTCCAGTGGTTATGGGCACTGACTGCTCTGCAGATGAACTGGGTTTGGTTAACAACCATTCCTACATCCAGTTCCAGGGGATTTGACTCCTTCTTGCCTCTGTCAGCATTGCACAACACAGGTGCACTTACATGCATGCAGGCAAAATACTCATACACACAAAATTTTAAATGTAAATGTAGATAATTGTAAGAATTTATACTTTTAGAGATGACATTTAAACAGCAGCTCCACAATTCAGTGATTTAGAGTTTAGGTTTAGGGCTAAGGCTGTAGCTCAGGTAGAGTACTTGCCTAGTTTGTGTGGTATCCTGGGTACCATCTTCAGCACAGAAAAAAAAAAGTTTGGGTCTTAAAGTCAGAAAGATTCAGGCAAAATTCCTTTGTATGATCTTAATTGTTCTAAAGCATAGATGTCTGGATCTGTGAAGCAGGCTTATTAATAATTGTTAATAGGTTGTTAATAGTGTTACAGAAAAGCTGTAAGGATTAAATGACCACTTAACATCGTATCTCTCAAATATTAAGTACCCCATATCTACAAGCTTGCCTTCATAGTAGAGTATTTAATAATGTTCACCCATTTAAACAAATGACTACTGGTATCTGAATGCATTTAGTACAAAGACCAGAATTCAATTTGAGTTTTTCCTAACAACTGGATGCTGAATTAGAAAACTACATGGAAATTAGAGTGGCTAAAAAACGAACAGTTGTGGTGGACATGGGTGGTCATATGAGATGTTACCAGGAGCCATGTTGTGTTTTTACTTTTTTTTTTTTAAATTATACATTGCTAAGCTTTGAATGTTTTTCTCCTCATCCTTCCTTATCACAGATAACCACCTCTCTCAGGAATAATTTGTTCAAAAACATGTCATTTCATTCTCCACACCCGGAAGCATTAGAAGTTTTCTTACTTCTTCCCGAATGTCCAGTGATGCATGACTGTAACAACTGGAAAAGCCTGGTGGTTCCATTTGCAGAAATTCTCTATAGAATGAGTGACCAGTCTTCAAGGGTTCTGGGTAAAGTTGACAGCTTAGTTGAAAATTCTTTACCCATCTTCTGTGGGATAATATACTTTAGTAAAATTATAGAAAAACTTAGATTGTGAATGCATGTGTCTATGTGTTTTCATTTGTATTGTTAGTGTACTATATTGACTATTTTAGAGTTCTCTGAGTTAGAACACACATGGGCTTGTTCATGAGGTCCTTTGTCGCTAACTTTTTCTTAAGAAAGTTTTTATAGACAAGTTGAAAGAAGGGAACAATGATTACCCATGTGTGTATGTTCTGTCTTAGAGTTAATAATTAGTATTTGGTCATTTATGATGCTTCTGTTTATGTTCAGACTAGCTTTGGTTTTTATTTAACCATTTAAATGTAACTTGGAGATATTTCACTAATGTCAACATTTATCTAATAATATAGCATTTCCCATTTACCCTGAGAGTACTGTCACAACTAAGAATATTATTTGTAATTCTGTTAAAATTGGGCGAAAAACTCGGGCTGGAAGCACACAAAAATGTGCAATCACAAACAGTTCTTAATTTGAATATTAATACATTATGCTATTTAATCTATGCAAAGAATGTGATTAATTTTGACTACTTTTTCCACAAATTAACTAGATGACATTTATGCTTCTCTTAACTGCGAATTTCCCAAGATGTTAGAAAGTTAAAGTTTCTAGTATGTTTGAAATGTCTGTGTACTAACTGTAGCTGCATTTATCAACTGAAGTTTACACCACAAATGCATTTTATCATTATGATGTTTATACTTTATGACTTTATGAAAATAGCAGTCACTCTTAACCTTTTAAGATTCTAAGAGCAATTTTTACAGTTATATTTGCCTTTTTTTGTATTTCTTAGAGGAATATTGGGCAACTCTGCAGGAATCTGTTTTCAGCAACCTGGTCCAGATGTTTAAAATGGCCATTAACTCACAACTGGATTATTGGGTGAATAGTGATGAAAATTGTTGTCACCTTAAAGCTCTTCTAGAAACACTGAAAAAGCTGCATAGGGTAAGGTTTTATTTAGAAATTTCCATTTCTGCATTTAGTGACTGAATTCTTGTTTTCAGTAGGTCCAAATCTTACACAAATTCATATGGAACACATGAGGTTTATATTGCTGTTTTAAAGTGTTTTTAAAAATAAATTGCATCATCCAGATAGAGAAATATGCAACTAGCTGTCCTTATCAGTAAGTTCTTCATCCAGCGATTTAGTCAACAGTGGATTGAAAATTATTTTTGGTAAAAGAAAGTTGCATCAGTGCTGATCTATACAGATTTTTGTTTTTCATTATTTCCTAAACTGTAGTGTAATAACTATTAACATAGCATTTGTGTTATGATAGATAGTCTAAATAATAGAAAGATTTAAAGCATAGGAGACAATGTGTTCGGGCCATATGCAAATGTGACACCATTTCATTTAAGGGCCATGAGCATCTGTGGGGTTTTGTATGGGGGACTCCTGAACCAATCCCATGGATACAGAGATTGACTGGTCATGTACAGCCTGAAGAAAAGTAAAATAATCTTCAGTATGCCTACAAAATATAGACATTTCTGATACTTTAGAGATGCATGTGTGTCCCTCATTGATTGGCACTCCTGAATCTCACAGATGTAACCATAATCCTGGATTGAAAGTTAATCTTTCCCTTCCTATTTTTTAAATTACAATTATCTGTCTATCTATCTATTATCTATCATCTATCTATCTATCTACCTGCTATCTATCATTTGTGTTTGTGTGTGCATATGTGTGCACATGTGCCATGGCATGAATATGGAGATCAGAGACAACTTGTGGGCCCCAGGAATTGGAATCAATTGATATCAAGCTTGGTGGCAAGTGCCTTTACCCACTGAGCAGTCTTGCTGCCCCCCCCCATTTTTTCTCATAGTACTGAGAATCAAAGCCAAGGCCTTCCTTCTTTATGTTAAACAAGTGGTCTAATATTGAACTGCACCCGCGGCCCCTGCTTTACTTGGATAGGGTCTTGATATGCAGTACACATTGACCTGGAATTCAAGCTCCTCCTGCCTTAGCCTCAAGTGCTGGGATTATAGTCGTGCTCCACCATGGCTAGAGTATTATTCTTCATGGGTAGTACTAAACTATCATGTGGTGTGTGTGTGTGTGTGTGTGTGTGTGTGTGTGTGTGTGTGTGTGTGTGTGTGTGTTTCAGAGGCTTAGGGCCTCACATATGCTAGGCAAGTGTACTAAACTATCATCTGAAGTGGCTGGACCAATTTAAATCCTCTGCAGAAGGTAAGGTTTCCTATTGCTCCACACTTGGTTTTAAAGTTTTGAAGAGTTTTCTTTTATGTGAAATGCTGCCAAATTGTGGCTTTGATTGAATTTCACAGATTGCAATGCATTAGAATGCATTTTCTTGTTTATAATTGCAATATTTGCTTCTCTTTTTCTGTGAGATGTCTATACTTGACTTTTGTTCATTTTAAATCAATTAACATATTTGAGTTTGTCTTATTGGCTATAAGGGGTTTGATTTTTATTTTTTATTTTGGATACTAGTCATTTTCTTTTTAGAAAATGTTTGACTTCTAGCACTCTTTTTTATATTATTATTACATTGTCCTTTTTTTATTTTGTGTGTATGTGTGTCATGGTACAAGCAAAGGTCAGAGGACAACTTGCAATGTCACTTCTCTCCTTCCATCATGGAGATCCCAGGAATCAAACTCAGGTCACAAGGCTTGGGAGCAAGGGTCTTTACCCACTGAGCTGTCTTACCAGCCTTAGTCCTTTTCTGATTATGTGTAAATATCATGCCCTGGTGTACTAGAGGAAGATTCCAAATAGAATCCTGTACACTATATGTCTGAGATTTAAGAGATTAGAAAACCAGGGTAACAAGGGCTGGGTGTATAGCTCAGAGGTAAAGCACTTGCCTACAGAGGAAGGGAAGCCTAGCTAACAAACTTAAATAAAATAAACATACTGGGCTGGAGATGTGGCTCATTTGGTAAAATGTTTCCCTGCATACATGGAACCCCCAGTTTGATCTTATCCTGCAAAACAGTGGGCGTCACATGCCATTTTGTTGATGCCTCATGTCCTGGTTCCATCCCACTTCCCACCACAGGCAGTTCTTGGCTAACCCTGAGGTTTTCTGTGCAACAGTCTGCCCCCAGAAGCCAAAGGGCATGGAGGTTGACTGGGGTCACTAAGCAAGAGGTTGTGCAGGCTGTATGTAGAGAGGTTCCCTTGACTCTACAGACCCCTTACACCAGAGAAAGGCTGTGACTAGAGGAAAACCAGAGCAGGGACCGTGAGTCATGATTCCAGTGCAGAGATTATGCAACCCAAGTCTACTGGGGGTGCTGATTTTAGCTTTGCCCTTCACTATTTGGTGTTAAATATAATTGGGAATTTATGTCAAGAGTTATTTTGACTATTTTGATATTTTTCATTTGAAAAAAGTTACCCAAGCAACAATTCACTGAAATACTATTCTTTTCCCACTATTATATAATGTGTACTCTATCATGATCCAAGTTTGTCTCTGTAGGATCCACTTCCGGACTCTTTTCTATACCATTGGTAATTTTGTGTAGCTCTACACTAATTGTTTTTATCTGGTAAGAAACATACCTTACTTTGTTTTTGAAGTGTATCTTGGTTGGCTTGGATACTTGCATTTTCTATATAAATTTCAAAAATTTGTCATTACACACACACACACACAAATATCATTGGGAATTTGATTGGAATTGCACTGTGTTTCACTTTGGTAAGAAGTGAATATATTATTTATTACTATAACTCTTTTGGTGTCTATCCATTTATTAAATAGCATTTCAGTAAAGTTTTATTATTTTAGTATAAAAGTTGGAGCTCTTCCAGGATATTTAAATATTTAGGCTACTCTAAATAACATCTTAAATGTGTTACCTTTTAGTAGCTTATGGAATTCATTCATTTTATTTATTTTTATTTTTAATAATGTATATGTTCAAGACCATCTATGTGCAGATATATGCACATAAGTGAAGGTGCCCACAGAGGCCAGAAGAGGGTGTCGGATCCTCTGGAGCTGGAGTTACAGGCAGTGATGAGCTGCCTGATATAGGTGCTGAGAACCAAACTCAGGTCTTCTGGAAGCACTCTTAACTGCCAAACCATCTCTCCAATTTAATATACATATATATGTTAAAGCTGGGCATCTTTGCACATGCCTTTAATCCCAGCACTTGGGAGGCAGAGGCTGGCAGATGTCTGAGATCAAGGCAGCCTGATCTACATAGTGAGTTCCAGACCATCTGGGGCTACAAGGGAGACCCTTTCTCAAAATACCAGAAAAAAAAATTACGCCGGATTGTCTTAAACTCTGGCTCATTTTCTGTCTTAGTCTTTCTGCACCCATTCTGGGCAGTTTCTTCAGTTTAATCACCCACTTCATGAACAGTCATTTTAGTGATTGTTGTTTGTAATTAAATGTGTCTTTTATATTTTTATTTCAAGTACTAATTTTGTTCATTTCCAGGCACCCCAATTTGCTACTTAAATTTATTTTTTTTGGTCATTATTTGGAATTTCTTCATTCTCCTATCCGTTCCTCTTCTCCCCTCCCTTCTTTTCAAGCTTCCTTTTATCTAAATATATGTATACCTTATGCAAGTGGCAAAGTTCAGAAGGTAAAGGCACTTACCACCAAGCCTGGTGACCTGATTTTGATCCTCAGTTCCTACATGGTCAAAGAAGAGAGCCAACTTGGGCAAGTTGTTCTCTGACCTACACATGTATGCTTTGGCATGTGCATGTCCACATACATGACACACACACACATCCCCCACACACAAATAAATAGATTGTGATAAATAAATGTAAGCCTCTGTACATGCCTTGTAACTCTGCTATCTTGTCTTTGCAGTCAGTTTGGTCATCTCTGCTTCTGCTCAAAGCTTCTCTTAGTGTCGCTATTATCATCTGCCTTGTGATTTGCATATATTATTAAGATCCTATTTTAGAATTATTTGGACTGGGTTCCTTTTCATAAAAATATTTTATTAATTATTTGATAATTTCATAGACTATATTTTGATCATATTTACTTTCTCCCCTTAACTCTTCCCAGATTCTCTCCAACTTCCCTACCCCCTCCCATTTCATGTCTTCTTTAAAACAAAAACTATTGTCTATAATTTGTGTTGCTCATATACTCCTGGATATGGGGCCATCCATTGGATCATGGTCTGGCTGCCAGGGAACATGGTCTACCTACCACTAAAGATATTTGAGTCTCCCTCCCTCAGAAGCCACCAACTGTCCATAACTCTCAGGGATGGGGGCTCACGAACCCCTCATCATCCATTCTGGAATGTTGACTGGCTTGGTCTTATGCAGGTCATGTCCAGGCAATTCAGTTGCTGTGAGTTTATGAGTGCAGCTGTCCTGTCATGTCCATAAGATGCTGTTTTGCTCTAGATTTCCTCAACCTCTGGCTCTTACAGTCTTTCTGCCCCCTCTTTTACCATGGTCCCTGAGCTTTGGGGATGGGATGTGATATAGATGTCCCATTTGTGGCTGAACACTCCACTAACTCTTATTCTCTTCATTTTGACCAGCTGTCATTTTCTGTGTTAACCACTGTTCACTGTATGAAGAAACTTCTCTGATGAGGTCTGAGAGCCACATTAATAGTTGGGTAAAGACGTGAATTTAGGACTGGAGAGCTGGTGGAGCTGTTAAGGGCTCAGGCTCACAACCAAAAAAAAAAAAGCAAGAGACATATGAATTCAGAGGGAAATTTGATATTCTGTCCATTTAGCAGAATAATAATAGTAGGTTCACCCCTCGGGCCTGTGATCTCCTCAAACATGAGTTGTTGGTCAGATTCACAGTACTAGGCATGTGTTTTCTCTTGTGGCGCAGGTCTTAAATCTAATCAGAAAGTGATTATTTACCCCATAGCATTTGTGCCACTATTGCATCTATGGGCATATCTTACCATGCTGGACATTACTGCAGATCACACAATTCACAGT